CGATCTAAATCGCATGGAAAAACGTCGTCGTCTGTGTAAATCCATAGTCAGTCCAAATAAGTTTTATTTTAGACAACATGGGACAAATAATTACGATAGCTTCAAATGTGAACCTATATTCGGTTTCTAGAAGATCTAATATCCAATTAGTTTTCCCGCTGCCCGTCTTACCGATGATTAAAGCGCAGTGTGGCTTCTTGTACATCTGGTTCATTTAATTTAAACGCTTCTTAATAAACCCGTAGACTTTAAAATTTCCGTCTTCTACAGTCAATTGAGCTAAAAATAAAAATAAAAAAAATACGTACATCATCAACGGACCCGCGGTCTCTGCTTCGCGTTCCATCTGTATCAAAATACCTCCTCCGCCCCGAGCGGCCTACCCGAGCCATGAGCAGATTTATCGTCAGAGCTCCTGAAATCGAGCCACAGACCATACTTATCTTTTAGACATTCGGCCATATCAACCCCCGTTAAATTTAGATCTTTTGCAACTGCGCGAGCCGATTTGGTGTCCGAGTCGCCGAGGTATTTGTTGACTTCGTTCCAGTGTTGGTATTCAAATAGCCCTTGTGAGTAGAGCTGGATGGGTTTGCCTTCGACCGTGACGACCGTTTTAGTTATATTTCGTTGCAGATTTTTGACCGCGGGATCTTTGAACAAAATCAAAACGCCTTTCAAACTCTTGATCGTTTGGTCGATGCTGATGTTCCATAACGTGTCTGACTTATTAACCGCCTGTTTTTTCCAAGAATGAATTCTGTTAAATAAGTAATAGACGGGGCCTCTATGTTTGGCCTGCAGGGCCTGCGCCAAATCTCGATTGGTGACGACTTCATATTCTAAAGTCAAATCCGAAATTGAGTACTCCGCAGCCTTGTCTGACGAGTTAACCATTTGATTGTGCCCGTTAAACGTTAACTGGTACGTCAGAGGCTCTTTAAAATCCGACGGATCGAAAGGCCCATTATCCGTATCTAAAGGAATCGCATATCGATTTTTAAAAGTGTCGGCGATCGCCTTATCTTTACCGTTGTTCGCGGCTTCGTTTTTATCGCCCGCGTTCAAACGTAACTTAGTGACGTTTTCTCTTTCTTAACTAAAATAAGCCATATTTTTCGTCTACGACAGAGGTAGCCAATTGCCCTTAAAGTTATGAAACACGTCCGCGTCTCGGTAACTGACAATTTTATTGCCTTGTAAGCTTACATTGATTTCTGAAAGCAGGTTTCGCGCTACGTTGTTATACACGGTACGGTTATCGTCGGATGCACCGTCTAGATCGAGTTGAAAGCCAGTTTCGCGGTACCCGGCATGATGACGTCATCCATGCCTAAAGCGGGGAATTTTATGTTTAACGTGTGACCCACAGCTATGGTGCTCGGTTATGGGTGACAGTTACTTCGCGTCTTTTGCCCTTAATCACGCGAGGTACTTTGAGCCTGCGACTCAGGTTTATTTTTTTCGTGTATTGTTGCGACAAATTTCTTAATATGTACGATTTATGTTTTACGTAAAAATTTTAAAGAGAAAAGAAAACGCAATAAAGGGTATGCTGGCTGCGAAAAATAGATCTTCATTATTTTGCTATCTAAACGTTTCACTCTGGTGAACGTGACCGGCTTGAATTTCTACCAGTTGATTTTTAATTTCGGTATTCATATTTTTAAATTATATATTTTAAAAATGGCTAGTATTGCAATGATGGTTGGAGGAGCTAAAGTAAACGCCCTGGCATTTACGGGCTAGATTTTTTTATTTGGCAGTTTATCAAAAAGTAAAGTCGACGAAGAATGAAAGCGTCAAGATCCTGGCGATAGAGCAATTGGTGCAGGCAAAACAAGAGTGGGAGCAAAACCGCGTTCATATGTTAGATTTTTTAAACGAGCAAATGCGACAAGAACGCACGAGTCAGCAAACATTTGTAAACGTGGACGAAGCGTTACGAGCTTAGAGCGAATTAACCGGTAAAAAAAAATAATGCCGCTGCCGCCAGAGCCTAAAATACTCGATTTTTACGCACCTTCGATCCGAGGATCAAAAAATTCGCAAATTTATATGGATTATATCCGGGACGGCTTTAGTCGGTTTCTTATCTTATCGATTTGCGTAACTTTATTTTAAAATGGAGCGAGAATTTTCAAAATTATTTTACAGCTCACAGGGTTATTGGCGGGGTGAAAGTTCGGTCGATCATCTACACGTAAAGACGGGTGCAGGCAAATCAGTTATTAGAAACTGGCTAAAAAAGCAAGCCGTTTGGCAAATATATTTACCCGCACCTGCGTACGTACCGCGACCAATGACTTTGCAATCGGAATCGGTCGAACCTAATTATGCGCATCAAATAGATATATTATATTTACCCTGGGATTATGTTGAAAGAAAAACGTTTAAACACGCTTAGACCGTGGTAGACGTAGGTTCGCGATATAAAGAGGCAGAACCGTTGACCAGCAAAACCGCCGAGCAAATGTCTGAAGCCGTGAAACAGATTTATAAAAGATTGCCCTTCACTTGGCGCAAAATTATAATGGTAGACTCTTGATCTTTATTTAAAGGTGAGTTTAAAAAATTAATGACGAAAAATATAGAGTAGAAATTCAAGTGGGTGAGCCGGGCGTTCATAGGTCGTAGGGAATCGTGGAAAGGTTTAACCGTACTTTGGCTGAAAGGTTATTCGGTCATTAATACGCTCAAGAAATGTTAAATGTGGATGAGCGAAACGTAGAATGGGTAGAACGTTTGCCTCAAGTTGTAAAATCGTTAAACGACGAAAAAACGCGTTCAATCGACAAAGAGCCCGCAAAAGCTATCAAATTAGACCGAGTGAAGCAAACACCTAGTGCACCTCCCAGAGTTGGCAAGCGAGAATTACCGCCAAGCGTGGTCGTTCGGTACCTCTGTTACGTACCCGGGTGAGCAAGAGGGTGGAACCGTCAGAAGAGTGACCGATCCAATTTGGTCCGTGGACGTTTATCAAATTGAAAAACGCACGAAGCAATTTAAACGAGTAAATGGCAGGCGGATAAAAACGGGTCCTACTTTATATTATTTATTAAACGGGCCAAATAGAAGTTTCGTCAAAGAGGAACTTCAAGTCGAACCCGAGGATACAGAATTACCGCCCGAGTCTTAACTGCGCAAAAACCGAATTGAGGACTTTTTCTTTGTCTTAAAAAATTGAGTTGTTCACCCATGGCTTTAAAAAATTTTTAAAAGTGGGTCGCAGGGGTTTGGAGTGTTTCGATTTTCCGGTTTAGTTTTGGTATTTTGTGCTAAACTTGGGGACGATGATTGAAGGTGGGGTGGGTCTAGTGCGTACCGCTCTGAACTACTGTTCAGGGGGCGTTTTCGAAACCCCAGTCTCCCGGGACTCACGAACAGTGTTCTTGGGTCGTTGATTACGAATGCTTAAGTGCAAATGGGGTGCAGCTGCGTTGAAAGTCAAGATAGCAGTCGCCATTTTAACACTAAATGAAAAGATGGCATGACATTTACCATCCCACATTAAATAAAATTCCTAAATGTCCATATTAATGGTCAGGGTAAATTTTCTCCGACAGCCATGAGTATTTGCCTTGGGTTCAAGTTTATTTTTCTTTGTGAGTGTTTCCTATTTTATCTAACAAAACCACCATTAACTTACGGTATGTGCCTATATCCACCATCTTTGTTCTTGATGTTCTTCATCCACTCCCCAGAAAGTGGGGAGTGAGAATCAAAGATCTCATAGCGCTGTACAATCTTTGGTGAGAATCTTGTTCAGGAACAATGTTCGCGTGTTGATCCCCTTTTGAAACCCCGTTCTTGTGTTCGTCAAACACAAGAATGGCGTAAATCTGCGTCGCTCGAGCTCGTTAAAACGCTGACTAAAGTCCTTATTTATTATCCACCCCGAGCTGAAGTGCACCCCCAATCGGCGAAAGTAGGACAGGTGGTTATAAGCGGGTTCTTGCACGCGTTCTGCACGTACGCAGAGACCATACATGCCGAAATAAATTAGTTACGCGTACTCATCGTGCTCCGCATCAAACTCGCATATACTTCCGCGCCTGATGTCGCGCCTTACCAAAATCACGCCCTCTTTTGTTCCCCTCGGAGCAGGTGCAATATGGGGGGGGGGTGCGTTCCATCAAATGGTTGTATTGCTGCGCGCGAGCTCCTAATATTTTTTGATCCCACGGTGTTTTACAATAAGACATGCCATAACCAGGAGGCATCATAGAAATATTTCTATGAATCACGAATTTTGGACTGACAGATTCCAGTTGGAGGTATTTCTTTCGCCAAAAGCCCCAAATAGCAGGCCTATTTTGGATAGAGGCGGGCGGCTACATTTAGAAATGAGCGCTTAGTTTTATGCTGTTTGGGGTATCTTCCTTGAAAGGCGAATAAAAAAGATTTTCGTGGCTAAGCCCAATAAAATTGAAACGAAGAGTGATCTTCTGGCCATAATCTTGAATTTCCAGTAAAAAAAAAACGGAGGCAAATTTCTTCACGAGAGTCACCAAGCGACGCTATTTTGGTCCGATTTGGCACTGGCGCGTATTTGGTTTAATGCACCTGGGCCGTTTTCCAATACTCAATCCGTCTCAGTCGCAGGCTTCGTTCCCAAAACCAATTCCCCATTGTGGGCCTGAAGCGTTTAAATTACATTGAATTGCTGTAATTTTTGGCTCTCTTTCATCTTAGTTGATGCTTTGTGGCACTATTAGACTAATAACTGAGCTTACAGCTTTAAAGTCATCTAGTAAAAAACAGTTGAAGCCGGAGCCGAAAGTGAATATTGGAAGACGACCCTGGGGTTAATCGCGCAAGGCATGGTAGGAACAAACATGGCGTGCCGAGATCATTCCCATGGAAACGAGGTTGGGCTAGGGTTTTTTTTACCGTGGGGACGAGGTTTTTCAAGGATACCATTGATTTCCCTATTAAAATATATGGGCTTGTTTCTGCACACCAGTTAAATCAGTGATACTGACTTGTACCCAGAGACAATCTGCCGTCAATGGGCCGTCTCTTACGCGCGTGTGAACAGCAAGTACAAACTCTGGGAACGCGTACGATCAATACATGGATGTTTCACACATGCAAAGTACATGTACATGTAGTACAATAGTCCTGGGCAAGTTACTAGGCCAGGAGTAAAGTGACCCCGTGACGTTTTGCGAATCATCGCGGCACGAAAGTGGTGAACTACCATGTAGACCGACGTTACCGACATGTGTCCTTAAAGTGTTGTAACTTTCTTCAACAAGGCTATTCAAAATCAAGTGTAAGAAATGCTGATTAATCATACCTAGTTTTGATGGAGGCAAAATGAAACTTTGGCCATGAGTTTGTTGGTTGTATTCTTAAGGCTTTAGTTTACGCTACCATATCCATGGTATGTGGGCCGGCTTTTTAACTAACGTAGTACTGGCATGACTGGGTCATGCTAATCATGCTAATCGTCAACGAGCGTAAACAAAGCGTTAACAAATTATTCAAGCATTTGTGTGAAGAAATGTGGTATTTTTTAATATGATGAGGCTCCTGAATATCCTATTCAATATATCACATTTATCTCAAGTAATGTTTGAATGTGGAAAGTAAGCCGACAAAGTAGGTCTTGCGCGTCACGCTCGTGCAGCAGAACTGGCCGCCATCTTGTTTTTGAGTGGACACACAGCAAAGTGGAGTAAGAAAGATGGCGGCTCCCACATCGCAGAAAGGAAAGATTTTGCTTTAATTACCCCTATCAGAATTTGTCATGAACACCTAAATCTTTGCAAGTAATTTTCCAGTTGTGTTCAGAATTATAAAAATGTCTGCATAATCTGAACTTTTCCAGGTTTATTTCAGTAAAACTGGTAAAAAATTGGGGAGAAATTAGGCATGTTAAAATTGTTATTCATGTTATTGATTGGCTTACCTTAAAGTAAACACTTCGGCGTCAATTACCATTAGCACCCTGTTCCTAAAATAAGGAAAATGGAGTCCAATTTTTCAAATTAACTAACATTCAGACCTTTAGGATCCATTCCTTAATCCTAGTCATGCTAGTACTGAGTAGTAGCTCTAGTTTTGGTAAATTTTGACAATATTTAATTATGGCCTAAGCAAGAAAACCAGAATTTATTACCCGAGTCTGGCGAAAGACGATGGCATCATGCTATTTTGTTTCACGTCTTGTTACCTGACCCAGCCATTGTGGATACATTGAATTTCATAAAAAAAACTTTTGTAGTTCTAGGTCTAGGAACCAGACTACATGCACTGATTCACCTTCGTTCACAGCTCCTCGTTGCATCATATATGCTGATTGTTATACCCCATCATGTCCCTCAAAAACAAAGCCCTTCCTTCTTGTCTTTCTTATATGAAAGAGGACATCACCGTCAACTTATTTAAGTGAGTTGTTTCCTGAAGTTAGACTTTGTCTCCTTATTATAGGAAAAGGGTGCTAATGGTAATGAATGCCGACACTTTGACTTTGGCTAGAACATCTAACAAAGAAAAATGGAAATTTCTTCGCCTGTATTGCCGGAAGATTTCCAGATGAAAGTATCGGGAAGAGTTCCATAAACAGACACCAGTCATTATTCCCTAGAGTGATCTATTGGCCATCAGAAAGCAATAACATGTCCAGTAAGTTCAGTTTAGGAGGGAAAATACCCAGTTGTTTACTTAAAAAAACCTAAAATTTTTCAAACCATTCTCATAGGGCTTTTGCACAGGGTGTCTAGTGGTGTCCGTATATGGAACTCTTTCCAAAGTATCAAAATTGAAGGTTGTGTTAGGCCTCATCACTTACACATATATGCATTGAATTCTAAACACAACTGGATCGACCCCTGCAGTTAGGTGTTTTGAAGATTTTTCTATTCCTAACTGCAGTTCAGCAGAATAATATCATTGTCATCTACTAAAGGGGATCTGAAAGCATAAATCTAATAATTCTTCCTTCTACATAGGACAGGGGTCCTGAAATTTACAATCACTTTGACACTTTGCCCAGAGATTGTATGATTCATCCTGTTCATGGCATGGTTACTCATAATAGGTCAGTCTACATGTTCGACTGATTGCATGGTTTCTGTGCAGTCGTGGCATGACCTATTGATGTTTCTGCCATCAGTTGATAAGCTTTTCTTTCTAATTTGCAGCTGTGGAAGAATGCTTTAAAAAGAGGAAGTACATGTAGGTTACAGACATGACCTTAATGACAGATTTTCTACACCATATATAGTCAAACCTGATTAATGTTAATGCTATTTTTTCTTACTTTGCAGGTAACCTTGGTATAGTAGGAACCTTGTTCTGTTGGCATGATTTGGGAATGAAAACAATGAAGAACAAAGGATTGGGACCTAAAATTTCTTGATATACGTAGAATGTTGTAACAGTATAACTGGAAATGTCCAGCGCCCTTGGCCCATAATGTGGAAATTAACACTGAGGGCAGGAAAAGCTTAACACCAGGTCAATGGAGCAAACATTCATTCACATTCAAACATTCAAATGATCCACTTAAGTTGTAAATATAATTCATCTGACATGCGTGAACCAGGATAAAAGAGGCATCTTCTAGGCATCTTGTCAGCTTGTGGCATTTATAGCCATGAAATATCACCTTTCAAGTTCCTTCCACGATGACCGTTTTATGGCTTAATGTGAAGTCCTGTGTGATGTCAATATTGAGCATTCCATATCATATGAATGTTTGCTCCATGGACCTGGTAAGTGATAACTTGATACCTTGAAAGGGAGGGAACATAATCAGTGATACTATCCTGACAAAAATATCTGAAAAGACAAAAAATCTTTTTGAGAGAGAAGTTTTTCCAGCTCTATAGTATAGCAAATCTCATTTCATTAGCCTATAGCAGTGGATATTTCCAGCTAGGGATGTAGTATTAAGGCACAATTGCAGAATATTCTGCCACTCGCATAGGGCCCATCCCACAGAGTCACAGTTAATAGCCTACATGTACCTACAGTAAATATGTCGTTCGCCATGCTCTTCCACTTAGCCAGCTACAGGATAGTCTATTTAGACTGAATATTTTCCTGCAGCAACTCCTATTCATTGTAAATGTCTTTGTTCTCAAAAGCATCTGACTCTTGACATGCCATGTCCATAGCCATGTACATGTATGGTACATGTAGCATAACCCCATTGCTGTACGTACATAGTACGTGTTCTTTATGCCATCTTGTAGCCAGTGTTTCTAGGGGCATAACAGGTGTTGGCAGGTGTTTGATATAGCCAGCCATTGCCTGGTCTTGGTTTCAAGACCTTCGCATTCTTCCTTTTAGCTAAAATGGATCAATTCAAACTACAGAGGTTACTATATTTATTTTGGACCACTTATGACTTCGGGCAAAAGACTTGGACATTTTGTTCAGCAATGATCACATTTTCCATTGTTTTTCTCCTGACTTTCTAGGGGTGCCACTCGACAGCTTCATTTCAAATTTTGTCCACTAATGTGAGGCTCAAACTGTGAAGTATTTGGTTTGGTTGAGCCAGACAGTTAACAGAATTTACTAGTACAAAATAATGATTCAGGATTAAAGATTAAGCCAAGGCAAAAGATGAAACTGAGCATTGAAAGATGACCCTGATCATTCTAACAATTCAGTCATCTTTTTATTCATGTACATGGTATGCTGAAGCAATCTGAGTGACATTATGATAGTACAGCATTACATCCCTTCTTGTACATTGGCATAATGGTGCTGTAATTACATGTACATGTACATCTTGAAATGCACCTACAGAAGAACATATATACATGTATATATATTGTAATATGTAACATACATGTATCTGTATATTGTTATGCCATGTGATCATTATCTTTGGGTTTGCAGGAACCGTGAAATGCTTTCAAGGCCGTCACTTCATGATGCTGCTATGCTAAGCACAGTTTTTCTGGTAACACTGGAAAATTTCTGCTCAGCTGATGCCAGCAAAACGAAGTTAATGTACAAAAGAAAATAACTAGAACAAGTAAACGCTGCAGTTACCTCAAAGGACCAGCCAACATTACGAGGCGGAATTCACGCCAGTGAGAAACATTTGAAAGAGAAATTCCCTAGAGAAATACAATTTGACTTAAAGTCAAATATTAACTGGATTTTGTGTAACTTGGGTTAACCTTGTTTGTTTTAGTCAAACTTGTTCATCACTGCAGTGACTCTTCTACAGTGTGCTGCTTTTAAAAGTCTGCCTTCTTTACACCTTAGGAGGCGATACAGTGCACCTTTGATTTTTCTACATTGTTTTGTTGTGTTTTGCTTAATTATCCCATTCACTAATTCCTCATCACAAAATTTAATCTTGACCACTTGCATAAAGAATCTACTTCATTGTATGTATGCACAGTTGTGCTATTGACAGATGTGCATTCGAACCTCAACTTGCCAACCCCAAGTACATGTATGTCAGTAAGGCTCCAAAGTTTATTATCCACATTAAGTGTGCTAAAAAGTAGGATGTAAAATTTTTTCAACTAAATCATACTTTATTAATCTGTGTTCTACAGGTTTCTTTGTCATGCCTTTCACGTTTGGTTATTGTGGTTTTTAATCGAAAGTTATTTCTGTTTGTGTTCATGTTTAGGCCTGTCACATCATCCCACATGGCTTTTGTCAGAAGGATGCCCTGACTGTGAAAGGGATCATTGAGGCTGACCCAAAAATGTGATTCGGAAAGGTTTCAAATGAAAATGTGGAAAAAGTAGTCTATCCTCTATTTTGGAAAATGGCTGATGAGTACGATCCAGCATTTCCAACCGAGTGAGTACTTTATTTCTAATTGTACATGTACATTTGATGTTCCATGATCAATATTTGAAAAAAATTGGTAGTGAATGTATATGGCTTGGAGTTTATTTCAACAAAACATTCTGAATGTGTGTTTTATTTTACTTTGCACAGGACTTCTGATATCAGATTTATATCTTATCTCTTTAAAATCCTCCCTGTTCTCGGTCACCACTAATCTAAAAAATGGTTTGCGTTAATGTTAATTGGTCATTTGCCTCAAAAGGTCATGTATTTTGAAGTACATTCATTTTAATTTATCTATACATTATCAAACTCATTTTAGCACAGCCATGATGTTATCTTGCCACCAAAAAAATACTTAAACAGTCACGAAACTGGTTATTAGCCCATCACCTAATTTTCATGCTTTGTAGAAGGGTTCAGAGCTTCCAAATAAACCCCAAATCAACAGGGAGATACATGTATTTTCTCTGAAGTTACAGCTGCTCAGTTTTTATCCCTTAACCCTGACTGCTTAAAACCTGCCATACTCCAACAGCAGGTTTTGGCAGGTTTGGTACCGTACCTGAGGAACCTGCTGTTGAATATTGTGAGACTTGGGATGAATGGCCCAGGGAGATGGTGTTGGATTCTGTGCGAGTTGGGACACACATGGGTCACTGTGTGCAGTGTCTGGCTTGCTGTACCAATTGTTGGACTATGCTTGATTTTGTCAGGTTTGGTACTGTTCAATGCAAGTCATCCTATACTGTGTAGACCCATCCATACCATATCACTCAAACTCCAACGGGCTCATTCTGTTGGAGTTTATCAGGTTTGGTGCAGTAACCTGCATGTACAAGTACATAGACAAGTACGTGAACCTGTTGGATTTTGTGAGGTTCAGTATGCTTTCTAGTGCAGGAGCCTGGGGTTAGGTTTAAGATACCTGTAACTTTTTACAAGTGATGGACCAAATATATGTAATGAGAAAAATGTAGAGACAAACCAAATCTCTGTTTAAGCTTAAATATGTGAGAGGTTTTGAAGGAAATGTTCTATGCACCTACTGTTAGAAGATGTTGAAGATGTGAATGTACTTCCTTCATTTGTTCCCCTTTCACTGCTAAGAAAAAGGCATGTATTCAATAGAATGAAATAATTAAATTAACCCTAACCCCCTAGGCTCCTGCACTAGAAAGCATACTGAACCTCACAAAATCCAACAGGTTCATGTACTTGTCTATGTACTTGTACATGCAGGTTACTGTACCAAATTTGATAAACTCCAACAGAATGAGCCCGTTGGAGTTTGAGTGATATGGTATGGATGGGTCTATGTAGTATAGGACGACTTGCACTAAACATTACCAAACCTGACAAAATCAAACATAGTCCAACAATTGGTACAGCAAGCCAAACACTGCACACAGTGACCCATGTGTGTCCCAACTCACACAGAATCCAACACCATCTCCCTGGGCCTTTCATCCCAAGTCTCACAAAATTCAACAAGAAGTTCCTCAGGTGCGGTACCAAACCTGTCAAAACCTCACAAAACCTGCTGTTGGAGTATGGCAGGTTTTGGGTGGTTAGGGTTAATGAGTTTCCAGTTTACTAATTTCTATATGCATGTAGGTTCACAACAACACACAGAGAACTAACCTTGTGTGCATTCAGATAGAAAGTCTGCTTATGACAAGATGCTTCACCTTTAGCCTGCAGATAAAATTTAGTGCCAATTTATTTTGAATATCTGCACAGATGGATTTAGTGTTGGAGACGCTTAAAGCCGATTGTCTTGAAACAAGGTCTGTTTAAAGACAGGCATACATGTTGAAGTCGAAGTGGCAAAGTAAACTGAATTTAGGTGGGTTGATTTGGATCATAAACTATTGTGTTGGCTGTCTTAAAGCGGAGAGATGAAAGTGAGATATGTGTACATGGAATCGAGCTGGTCGACGATTCAAAAGGTGAGTGAAGGTCAAAAAGACACATTGTGGTGTTGGGTGGTTTTGGGTGGTTGACGGAGGCACACAGTGAATTGCGTTTTTATGGGGATAGTCACCGACATGAAACTGTATTTACTGGTGACAAGAACAAATTGGAAAGGTTTGGAGGCAGGTGGGTTGCCATTGCATTTGAAACGTAAGACATAACATTCATTGCACTGTTTGATGTTGCGTGTAGCGCAGGCCTACACCTACTTGGCATCCATTTCATTTTCGCATGATGGATACTCGGTGAAATGTCTAGTGTGGGATCAAGATCTACATGCAAGTTAGACTTCTTTCTTTTGACTTTTTTATACCCAGTAATTTAGGAGAAGCTACAAATAATTGGTAAGTTTTTGAAGAACGAAGGTTTGGGATCACTGGTCAAACGGAACGTTTCTCTCAAAATGTTGACGCATTTTGATTTCAAGATAGTGGCGTGGGGTCACAATGGAGGTTGCGTGATGTGATGGGCATGCATAGTGCGGACTACACATATCACCTGGCAAATACACTCAATTGTGTTGCTTGCAAGTATTCGCGGTGTGTAGGCGTACATGTTCGTACATGTACATGGACATCATGTACGACGGGGGACTTCATTGAGCTGAGGTTCGTCGTTCGGTAGTGTTGCAGTGGACCTTGGACATGGAATTGTAGTCTAATGAATGGTGTGTACAGTGTACTTGGTGCCTGAATCAGAATCAGTTGTGGTGAGTACGCATTGTTATTCGTGGTTTCCTACCTCCATGATAATGGCATGGCTAGGACTTAACTGCATGTTATCGGTGGTCACACGGTAGAAAATGGGAGAAATCACCTCCTTCAAAATGGGGACTGCCTCTGCAATTCATGACATTGGAGCCTGATTTTTTAATTAGGATCATTTTTTCTGCAAAAGTTTGGTTTGATTTTACATGGAAATTAGAATGATGCTTAGGTCAGTACAACCTCTTATATCCATAAAGGCATATTCCTTTGTACTGATGCACTTTCTTTGCATTCAAAAATGAAATGTAAGATGGCCATTGTTTTGATGACATTATTAATTTGACCAGTGGGGAATTTTGTTTCGCCATGGTTTCGCATACTACGTATCATATAGGCCCCTAACTCTTATCATTTCTATTTCACTATTGTCATGATTGTGAAAGTCTTACCGACAGCAGCAGTAATGGTAGTACAGTGTATGTGCCAATCTTCCAGTAATTTACAGTAAGCAAATAGCAAACATGTTTAGATTTTTCAATCAAGGCATGATGATGTGATACATTTCTAAAAAGTTCTGCAAAGTCGGGTACACTGTACCATGTAGCTGCATGCTTGCAACACCCTGCAGGATCTTATGCACTATTCTCTATCAAAAATGAATCACTTCACTTGTTCCCACTGTTTTATTAATTAGTAAGCCTATACGGTACTTGAAACAACCATTTCACTTGATGGCACAAGACCATGAACGGTGCATGTCTGAATAATGTCATTGTAAAACATCAAGTAAATAATGCTGAAAATAATAAAAAGTATTGACATTTTAAATGAACCATACATGTATCTCGGCTTACATGTACTGTACATGTATGTACATGCATACATGTACATGCATTTTAAGTATTTATTTCAGATGGGATTTCAAGCTATTCGTGGTGACAGACAACTAAGATGGAAAGCTTGCGGTAAACACCATGCAATATCTCTTTTTTGAGTCTGTGTGGTTCTGATAAGAACCGGAGAGGTTCAACGTTTCGAACAGTGTGCTCTGTCCGTCGTCAGGAGTCTCCATGGTGTTTACCGCAAGCTTTCCATCTTATTTATTTCAGGTACCCATAGGAAGTATCTGAAGGAGTCCAGCCAATTGTAATTTTTCATTACCATTCTATTGTGTGGCTGGTCAGCCTGGCAGCCCATGCACACCGATACCAGCTACAATAAATTTTTCTTGGACGCAGTTCTTTTTCAACTTTGTATTCATCTTCAATGAATGAAAATTCTTTTGCATTTCTGTTTCGTTAAATACATTGAAAAGTGCACTTTTTAAACAATTGAAATTATCCATGCTTTTTTCTGTTAAAATTGTGAACCCAAATGTACTCCCTGAAAACATTTGTGAGAGAGATTCATGCTACATGTAGCTTATTGCTGTGCACTCACAACAATGAATCAGCAACTACATGTTAGTGAAAACTGAGTCCAGTAAAATCTACAAAATTGGAGGACTTTTGTGTACAATGTTATGTATAGGCTTCTTCCTAAGATGACATCACAGTTTTGTGGGAATTCATGGGAATATGGAAAAACCATTAGCATAAAATCCCAAAAGTAAATTACCCTCTGACATAGTGAAACAAAAGTTGAAAATAAGGTTAACTTGGACACAAAGAATCATTTCGAAGGTTTGTATCAAAACAAACTAATTGCTGCTACCATTTAAGGATTCAGGGAAGTGCGCCACGTACATTGGGCGTGTTGGGTGCTTTTGGCCTTTACAGGCGGCAGTGTGAAAGGCTGAATTTCTTATTTTTTTAGCATTGTATGCCTTAAATACACTTCTTTGAATGAATACAGATTCTCTAAATTATATTATGGGCTGCTCACTTGTAGAACAAATGTTTTGCATCATTCTGTAAACTCTTACTTGGTTTGTTATTTTCAAGACAAACATAAATGGAAATATTCTTTGAAACAAATGAAAATCTAGCACAACTGGTACATGAGCTCAGGCGAAGCACAACCGACAATGAATTACTTGTTCAGAAGTTTCATATCACTAAAAACACTACTTAATTCCTATAAAAAGTAGAAATATAAGCACATGTTGTTGGGTAATGTTGGTGACTACTTTGAGCAATGCATGATTACTGAGACTTAGGCAAGATATGGACTGAAGGTGGTTTGCTTTTGTCCTTCCCGTGTACATACGTGTACAACAATCTACATGGTCCACAGGTACGGTATTTGTACCTGTACCTTTGTGAAGGGATTTTGGGTGCCTTGTCCCCAACTTGCGAATCATCGACCATTCAATTACTAATTTGATGGATTTTTCAGTTTTGTACGAAACATACACATATGATACATATTGAGAAGAATTCCCTTTGAACTAATGGATGAATCATCTCATTTGTATAGTTTTGTGCCATTTGATCTAATACCACAGAAAGTATTACCCACATGTATATATTGCACTGTGCGCATACTGAGTATGTGAATAACGGTGTGAGAAGGTATTTGTGGAGTTAGATAAGTCAAACTCATCCAGTTACATACAGCTTCACAAATAGATTTCAATCATAATTTGAAGACAGAACTCTACTATTTAACTACTTGTTATCTTGACTGTCACTGCAGAGATATCACACTCACACATGGATAACATACATGTACATGTACAGGTGATACATTCCTCTTGGATCAGTATGGTGATGTGACTTGCCAAAGTGCATGTATGCTTCAGATGAAGGACATATGCTTGAGTGGCTTGCCAATGGCATCTTCTGGGATCAGTCAATAAGCCAACAGTTGTGTGTGTGTTTTACCAGTTGGTAGAACTCTTTTTAATGTCCACCCCCATACTGATGCTAAAGACTGGGTCGCAGGGGAGGGGGTGGGGGTGTGCATTCTTAAAAAATATGCAGCCTTTCCCTGTGCATGTAAACTTACAATTTGTAACTAGTTTTTATTTTTGATATTTCTTTCATGTACTGTGTCCTGCCATACATAATCTACAGGGAAACTGACATGCTGCAGGTAAGCTTTAATAAGCTTATGTAGAAATGGTTACTCATATATGGGTCATACTATAAATTAGTGGTTCAGTTTTTTCCATGTTCCTGTTAAATCTAACGTGATTTTGTTGTTCAAAGCACATTCCCTAATTTCCAAGAGTGATGAATTAATGCAAATAACCTGTCAAACAGTTTCAGAGATGTTTCCATGTAAAATGACACAGGTCAGGTGTAACGGGGACACACCCACACTTTCCTTACATACCTACTGTGGACATTCCTTTCTTTTCATGCAGTTAAGAAAACTCAGTTAAAATGCCGGTACTCATTTTTCTTGAACTGGAAACATGATTTTCAGCTGGCTTTTTGTACAAGGTTTCCTTGACTATTCCTCTTCCTTTTATGACAGATGACCCCCAACCCCAAAATGCCTCTAAACTTCTTTTTCAGAGAAGGGGAAACATCCTGTGGACGTGTGTAAGTCCACAGAACGTCTTCCTTTTCTGCATCGTGTGGACATCTTTTGTTCACAAGTCCACACTAGGTATGTAAGGTTAGTGCAAAAATGTCACACATTTAGACCCCAGATGTATAGAATTAATCATATACATGTGTAGGTTGTGACAAATTGTAAAATTTTTTTTTTTAAAAGACAAGTTTAGATAATTAATCAGAATGACATGTAGATCTTCAATGATTAACACGGATATTTTCACGTTTTCAGGTGGATATTTACATTCCAGCAATTTCTATTTTTAGTTGTAGGTTAGGTATGTTCATGCACCCTTATGGCCCAGTGGTTCCTTGTGGTTTTCTATTCATGGGTCATTCCATTGGGTTGGGAAGCAGTGTGATTAAAGGGCAAGATCACCTTTGAAACTGCCTTTTGAAATTATCGGCGAGCATCTGCTTAATCAACTGCAGCATACATGTATCTCAAAGAGGCAAACCTAAGCTTTGAAGCAAGACCAAGCTTGACTGCATTGAATAAAATTTCCTTACAAAATGTTTGACATGATTTACAATCAAACTAAGAGGTTTTTGTCTCATAAAAATGAAGCTTCACAGTTAGTTTCTTCCTGCAGCTTATGTTCCAAAAGGGCCCAAACTTATTCCTAGAAAACAACTTTTGAAATTCTAAATTTTTCTTTAAATACACCACCTGTGATCCGAAAACATTGACTATGACGTAACTTTGGTGTCAGTAAATTTTGCGGAATGTTACATCAAAATAAGAGGGTGGCGTAAAGAGACTGATACATTTAATGTAATTTATTGTATGCAATGTTTTCAGTGTGATTGTTAAAAAAAAAGGAAAATAGTTACAAAACTCATCGGCATTTGTACAAAAAATCAGTGATGGTGTCAGTCAAAATTTTGTTACATCGAGGCACGTTTTGTAAAGTAACAGCGGTATTCACCCCTTTAAAAAATTGAACCGTCTGTCTTCAACTGGGGGGTACCCCCAATACAATCAGGCAACCACACGAGGCATCATTTTACAAAGGTACATGTACCTTGTTGTTAGTTGCTGATACACTCAACCTGCAGAGCAAGGCCTCGCCAAGAAAAGCTGTCGTTCTGAAGAGGCAGTCAACCACCAAGAAGATTCATGAAAATGTTTCTGGGTTGCAGATGCGGCTTGCTGAACTGAGAACAAAGCAAAGTGCAAGAGACTGAGCAGTAAAGACTTTCAAGTACAGAAATCTACAAGCTGTCCAAACGAACACAAAACATGAACCTGGTGAAATACAATGTTACTGTAAGATGCCCTTAGTAGAACTAGCAGACCAAAAGGGCGTAAGCAAAAAGACATTGCAGAAGACACAACTTTTGAATAGTGATGCAAGTAGGTGCCAAGGTTCGGGTTCGGTTCGGACACGGTTCAGAATTTTTTCGGACATGTTCGGACATGTACGCACATGCACAATATGAACATGTACTTGCACAATGCACATCAAGACATTGAAGAGCTCGCTACAAACGTGCTGTATACAGTGTATAGTACTTCCCAGTATAAAATACAGGTTGGTAAATACAAGCAATGAATCTCCTCTCTATCGCCATCCATGTGCAACTTCGATTTGAAGTTTGAACTGCTTCCCTTATGTTTGTTTAAGTAGTTAAATTTCCATAGAAAGTTATTGTCGGAGGTGTGACAGTTTGCGACTGCAGTGTTTTACTGACTAAGAGCAGTTGTATTTGGACCACGCTTGACTCGACAAAATGATCGTAGGATATGTGAAAACAAAAACAGCATGCTCTTGTATCCTGTACAGGATACGTGTACGTGTACATGTAGCACCTGGCTAACTTGGTATTGGCAACTTCCCTCACTTGAAGGTCCAGCATGTAAAGAGGAGCTTCCTGTGCCATACTCGGGGACCAAGATGCTGACCCAATATCGACTAGACTCTTCAGATCATTCAAACTTTGTTTAAAGCGTGTTCTGAAGGAACTCTTCCTACTTCGAGATTTTGTTTGAAGCCGCTGTAAAGATCGAAGCCTGGAGTGTGCTGCCTCCTTGACTGCCTCAAAAAACGTATCAGAGTTGACCTCATAATCTTTAAACTCCAATACAGAGCCCTCATAATCACAGGCAGAACTATGTGGGCCCACCCCCACCTGACGAACTGAATCCTGGGAGGAGATTTCTTCTTGCGTTGATCAGGAATGAGTCGCCACTATCACCATCACGGGTGAAATCTTGAATATTATTGCCATGGTTGCCTCCACGTGGCAACCCAGTAACTCACAATGTATTAGAGCCAATGGAGCCCTCCACAGGAGCTGATTGCTTGTTGTGAATAGTACTACGAACCCCCACCAGGGCAGCCTACTCAGAGGAAGGGCACCTTCCCCCAAGCAGAACCTCGGAAAGAGGTTATTTCCCATGCCAAACCTTTCATCATACTTTGCATCATGTGCCGCATAAGTCTTTCAAAGTCAGAGAAACTGTGCTGGAATTCAGCCATGTCAACATACTGAGTGAGTGCAAGAAGGGCTATGCTGAAACGTGTGCAATGAACAAGATGCAGCTTTATCAGCTAACCTCTGTGTGGCCTTCTCCTTGGCCTTATGGGCAAAGGAGGCCCACAGATCCGAAGACATGCTACCCATTTCCTGACGTTCATTGTAAATCCCAGTGATGCCCATCAGGGCTGAAACAGCACTTAAAGCACAATACATGAGGGTCATCTACACCCAGAATTCTGTGGCATGACCTGCAAGAACAAGGTTGAGTCATGCTAACTGGTGGGATGTCGGCCAAGTTGGCATACTCGGACGACTCGGCCAGCGTCATTATAAGAGCTCTCCTCAAGAGATCAGTAGGCGGGTTGAACTCACAAAATTATTGTTATTTACTGTCTCCTGCAGTGGCACAGCAAATCAAATGTGAATCTACAAACAACCAAGATACATGTACATGTAAGGTGTACTTATTTCCTACTGACGGGCACTTTTATGCATAAAATCTACCAGCTTCGTAGTTTTTTACAAGAGCATATTGACAACACAACTGATTGGGAAGATGCTAAAAGAAACATGAGTGCGCATGCGAGGAGTGGGTGCTCTGAGGATGGGAGGTGATCATGTGACAGGGTTGTTTTGTTCTTTAAGCACAACTCAGTGGGGGTAAAAGGAAGCATCCTTTAAGTGTGTTGAGGCAGAAGGCCATTTCAAGAGCTTTAAAATAATGTCAAAAGTTTGTTAACCTGTTTCTCAAGAAGTAATTGACTGCTTGACATAAAGTTTTAGTTCAGGGGGTTTCTCAAGGAAGCAGCACACCAAATTTTGTTTTTAATCCATGATGGTCAGTTCCAATAGCATGTTGAATTTACCTTTTTCTATTAAACTTCACGTACTGTTTACCTACATGTACATGGTTATGTGTTCTGTAAATGACATGATGTGTATAGCCCAAATTTTTCAATTTATGCCGGATGATGTAGGTAAGCGATGCTCAATTTAGTCATGTACATGTTGCACTGAACAGATATAACTTGGCGGTGACCAAGGTGTTGGGCGAATCTGACCTACTTCATTCACAATGGTCTAGCCCGTGCACTGTGTATAGGCCTAGTTGTGCATGCCTTCTGCTTGTGTTGTGTTAATACTAATAGTCACAATGTGTACAGGTACATGCCTCGAGACCTGTCTGCAACCCAACTCTTTGATGGGTTTGTCCCAAGGCAAGCTCGGTGGTCGAGTGGTTAAGACATCTGCACTAGTAA